TCACTCTCGAGCAGAGTGCAAAGCACTATTCTATAGGTCGCGTAATGGAGGGACGCCCGGTTACATATATTCTATTTTTTTCTTCTGAAGATCACAACTGATATGTTGATATGAATGTGCTTGCAGATCTTCCATCTGCCTGCAACAACTTTGATGATGATGTTGATGATGTTATTGAAAATGAAAATAAATATAGCAGCTGTAGTCTGATTCTATGTATATAGCATGCATATCATCTTTTTCAATGAGATGATGTTGATGCTTTTCTTTTTTAGATTGAACATCTGTTTCAGCTAGTCATTAACTGTATACATTTATAATTGAAGAATATTAATAATAATAATAATCTGTTTCAGCAGTATTTAATTAATGTTTATATCAACATTGATGAATAACAGCTGAACTGAGTCCACACTCATCAATCAAAAATTTATGTTAATCAATATGATGATCTACATCTTGCTATACAAGCAGATGATACAAATCACAAGCAGTTTGATCACTGTGTGATATTATCTGCTTCTCATACAGACAGTGAATGTTTTATACATAAATTGTTTCAGAATTTTATAACAATTGTCTTCAATTACAGATATTTAATGCTTTTCATTACATTTACAGCTAATTCTGAATAAGAGAAGATTATTTATAAATTGTTTTGTAATTAGACTACAGCAAATCATTCAGATTTGATTGTATGTATTTTTACAATGAAGATTTTTCATTTTCTTGATGTTCTCAAATCTGAGCAGCTGTTTGAACTGATGTTGATCAGAGTATGAATAATTGAATATCATGAACTGCTTCATATGCATTTGTTGATCTGATTAGAGAATTCTGAGTGATTTTTATAATCTGAGATAATTAATGAGATTATATCTGCAGAGCTGTTAAGCATTGCTGAGAATACAAGCAGATTGAGTGAATTGATCTGTAAATTCATGATTTATGATTCATGTAATGCTGATGTGGTGAGCCTCTGCTATAAGAATGGCAGATGTATGAAACATTTTTTCAAGACTTTTCAGAGTGCTACAGCAGTTGAAGAGGATGGCTATTCGCTGTACAGACAGCAACATGATCCATGTGATTGTTTTTTATTGACAGCTGTAGATTACATGGAATTCATCTATATGAGTCACGTGCAGCTGTTGGATATCTCATTACGTTCACCCGAGGGATTAATCGGCGCGTTTTCAAGCTGGATAAGCGAGCGCAAGCGAGCGATTGCGGCTTGTTGACTTTAATGATGAGTGATATTTGACTGCATAAATGTTATATCAGCTCAACTGAGACTGTATGATGTATATTTGCATTTAATGTATATTTACATTTCATATACATCAAAAGTTTTCATCAATTGAGATGTTGTCTATTCATTTATCAAATCATCAAATGATTTACTTTTCTGAATTCAAATATAAAAATCATAAATATATAACTGAACATTTGATAAATAATACATATAAATTCATGACATTCTTTGTCTACAATCTTCACATTCAGATGCTCAGTATCTCTACCAAGAATTTCTGTCATTTAATTTGAAATAAATATAATCAGAGATGAAAGAACTGTGTGAAGAGGAGATCAATTGATTGCCTGTCTCATCTCAGTTTGT